TTAACAACTCACCTAGAGCCTCCTAATCTGTCTCCCTTCTTCAATCCCTCCTCCACTTAGCAACCAAGTTGATATTCCTAAAGCCCAGGTCTGGCCATGCCACTAAGCCTGTTTGAAAAGCTTTAGTTGCTCCCCCTGGTTTCAAGGATCAAATACAAACTCTTCCGTTTGGCATAAAGCCTCTCACAACCTGGCTTCCCCTGTTCCAGGCTTATTAATTCTCCTCCAGCCACTCTGTGCTGCATCCAGTCAAATCTATTTGCTGTTCCTCACAGGTGGCATTCTATGTTGTACAAGTTGTCCCCCTCTTGCCTATCTCTACCTCTCATAAACCCTAGCTGCTTCCAAAGCTCAGCTCCAGTATCACCTCCTACTTAAGGCTTTTCCTGACTTTACCCCCAATTCCTCCCCAGCAGGCTACTAGTCCCTCACTGCCCCAAACCCTATCTACCATTTATTTACTTTGTATGTATTTTAAACTTGTCTGTGTACTTCTTGTTCCCCCTCACAACAGAAATGTAAGCTCCTCGAGGGCAATGTCACTTTCATTCTTGTCTTTATATCTTTAGTGACTAGTTCACGTAGTAAATTCTTAATAAATAGTTGTAGATTTAGGGTTTTTTTTTCCCAAAAAAGTATGGAATGGTCTCAAATCAGAAGTGTAAGGTTATTTGTTTCCTAATTATAGTCATAGGCATTAAAACAGAATCATCTAAAAAACAAACATAAGAGTGTGATTTTTTTTTCTTGAATCTTCTCCAAAGACATCACAAGAAGATCAAAGTCAACAACCACACATCTTTTGTTGTTTAGTTTAAAGCTTTCCTCTTCTCCTAAATGAAGTTTTGTTTTTTTGGAAAACTCCTTAAAATACAGGCTTCTTTTGGTAAGATTTAAGAGCAAAGATTTGAAAGTTTGGAAGCATAACATGATTCCATTCTTTCTCAACCCAAAAATAAAGTTAAAGCAGATAGACTCCAGACCACCCTTACACAGGTTCAAGTTATACATTTTACATAGCATGACCAATATTTCAACTTCTTGTGGTATACAACTTCACTTTTACACAATATGGGAGGCATCTGCAAACTAGCAATGAGTCAGAGGTCAAGATTTTCACTAGACAAAAGAGGTACAGCCTACTACTTGCAAAGTAAATCAAGTTTGTCTTCAGCGCTATCCTCTGTCTCTCACCTGGCAATCTCTAATTTGTGATCGACAATATTAGTAGAGCTATAAATTCCATCGCAACATTTTGCTTTTAAATATCCTTTTAAAATGAAATCCTATCATTAAATTTTGGTTTTGAGTTTCTATCCTGGATACTCAATTCATTCAGGAGCAGTTTTAAATTACAGTGTTTTGCAGACTATATTCACTGTATAAGTCAGGGCTTCTCTGTATCATATATGTATCATTTAGAAGGAATTCATATGGCCTCTTAATTGAATACATTCAAGATCACTGCACAGGGCTATAAACCTATTCCCTAGGTCAGAAGAAATAGCAGAACTCACATGAAAAAGTGATTTCAGTTACTCATCTTAGAATATTCCTATTTTATATAAATATACCTATACCTATTCACAAATAATTAATAAGTAAGTACATACTGAGATTTATGTGGGACTTCACAGACACATCATGTTCTACATACATTCTAATTTAATCCGGTCAACACTGTGAATTATGTAGATACAAGCATTATACATAGTAGGTAATAAAGCAGGTATTCAAATCTCTTTCCACCACCACATTACTTTTCAAATTATATAATTTGAAACCAATGGGAAAAAGTTTTCATCTTTATGGGGAAACAAAGTGTTTTAGAAATAATTTACTAGCAGCCTGGGACAATGGGATGAATACCAAACTAAAAATTAAGAAATTTGTTTTCTAGTCCCAGTTCTTTGATTAAGTTAGCTGTGTGACTAATTAGTTTGACCAGTTACTCAACCTCCTCTCAAGTTTGAACTTTCTCATCTGTGAAATGAGGGGGTGAGTGATACCAGTGACCCAAATTCATATGCACACCAATCATTCTCATTATGTACCTTTTTAATCAATGTTGTACTAGTATCATGTGGGAGGTATGCAAAATTTGGTATCAAAAGGGATTCTCTATACCTACAGAATAAGATCTACTGTGTGAAGCCACTGAATCTCCAACTTACCTTCCAACTCTGTAAGTCAATAACTACCTTAGTTGCAGAACTTCAAAAAGCTTAAGATTTACTTTTCTTTGTATAAAAATTTAACTGCACACAAGAGTAGCCGACATTTGTAGAGTACTTTACAGTTTACGGAGTATTCTGAACATTGCCTCATTTATTCTCACTAAAACCTAGTAAGGTAGCCGTATATTTTTTCTTATCATTTTTCAGATGAAGAAATAAAGCCTCAGATAATTTAAGGAACTAACTCAGGTCACATACCCAGTAAGTGTGCAGAGCCAGGATTCCAACACAGATCTACTGACTCCAATTCTAGTTGGGTTTTTTTTTCCTACTACACTATTGAGCCCTGAATGTCTTATATATATAGGACTTGTAACAACAATAGCAATAGCTACCTTTAAATAGTGCCAACTATGTGCCAGAAACTGTTATAAACACTTTACAAATACCTCATTTGACCCTCACAACAATCCTGGGAGGTAGGTGCTATTATTATCCCCATTATACATCTGAGGAAACTGAGGCAGGTACTTGTTAAGTGACTTGCTAAATATCACACAGCTAGCAAGTGACCAGAGGCCACATTTGAACTCAGGTCTTCCTTACTCCAAGACCAGCACTCAATGTACTGCACCACCTAACTGCCCTGTTATATAGCATGTATTGTACACATATGAATTCATTTGATTAAAACATCTTTGATAGAATGCTATGTCTAACACTTTCTTTTTTTTGTATTTTCTTTCTTTTTATGTATCCGTAACACATGAGTTAATCATTTTAATTCTTTTCTTCTGATCTTCCCTATGCCCAACCAGGTGATCACCAATGAAAACTGATTATAGAGCAAAAGACACAATCTTAAAGCTTGGTATTTAGTGCACAGGATGAGACAACAGTGTTTATTTAACTCCCCGCAGTTTAGTCATCAAGTGTATATACCACATCTACTAGAAAGGAAATAAACTGAGCCAGATCTGGGTAGTTCACAACTGGTGATCAGTGAGAAACTTTACTCCCTACCTCAACAGCAATCAACTAGAATAAAGATTAAATCCATCTTTAGATAAGACCTTCTCTTCCTTGTACCTCCATTGCTTAACCCAGTACTTGGCAATAAATAAGCCCTTAATAAGTTGACTGACTGATGAATGAGAGATATTTCCACCACATTTTAAAGTTTTGGTTTGCCCTAGTCCTTTGGTTGTAAAGGGGACCAGCAGATTTAACAATTCAAGTTTAAACGGCAGTTCTAGAAGGCAGGCACCATGTCTTAAAGTTAATCTCTAAATAATTAAGTTCATGATTGGGTAGGGCTTGGTGCTGGTGGGTGCTACGGTTATTTTTGTTGCAGCACCTTGAACAGCTCCAGGAACACAAATGTGTTAAGTTCTTTCAAGGAAGGGACTTCTGTCTTTTGTCTTTGTATCTTCATTGCCTAGCAAAGTACCTTCAGACGCTTTAAAAATGTTTGTTGGATTCAGTATACATTGTTTTGAAATACAGAGACAAAGGCCTCTGAAAAAGCTAGCTAGAAAAATTTAGAGTTGGAGTATCCAGGCCTGCTTCTTCTATCAGCAAAATAATCTTTTCATACAATAGGATCAGAGCTCCTTAGAGGGGCCTCAGAGGCTGTCTACCTCTTTACAGTTGAGGAAACGGGCACATGGAGCTTAAATGACCTGTCACACATGCAGTGTCAGGGGTGAGATGTGAATCCCAGGTATGCTTAATCGTTTTAGCTATCGGTTTATTCCTCCCGGTGTTCGTGTCAGGGCTGCATTGAACAGGTGGGAGACAGGAGACCACGGGTTCTTTCTGCAAAGATGCCGCTCGAAGTGACCTTGAGAAAGTCATTCCAGCTGAGCCCTAATTTCCCACTCCAAGTTGGTGGTCTGAAAAGCTAGTGCTGGAAACCATGGTTACATGTAGGCGCCTAAGCTGAGCTCATTGCTTCAAGCCTTCGATCCTGGATCCCTTCCACAGGCGAGAGAATTCAAAGAAGCCTGGAGGACCCCCGCAAACCAGAAGAGCCACAGGCCGTTTCCTGATTCGTCAGACGTTTCTCTCCCCCTTCGCCCACTATTGACCCCGAGATAACCCCTTCCTCCCCTTGATAATAATCTCCAGCACTTCCTTGTAGCAACACCCCGAATACCCCAAACTTACACCTCACCTCAAGCTTCGGACCCATTCTTTAAAGGGACCCCAAACAGATATGCCGAATAGAACGCCCCTGCCGTCCTCCACCTGAGACCTCCGATGCAGCGCCCTAGTATCTCCCACCCTCAAACCCCGTTACAGGATTTCTGCATTCCCCGCCGAAGCCATCGTTATGACGCTCCGGCAACCCCCACCAGAGACCATCCTTACGAGACCCCCGTTACAGAGTCCCTGCAATCCCCCACTAGGGATCAGAAACCAACGTTTCAGCCCCCGTGTCCCTCACGCAGGACCATGGTTTCGGCGGCCCCACTTTCCCACGCAGCATCCCAATGTCCCCCCAAGCTGGAGCCGCATTACAGCGACCCGGTAGCCCCCCACCTGGTACCCCGACACAGCACCCCTGTGTCCTCCACGGGGGACCATCGTTACAGCGCCTCTGCGTCCGCAGGGAAAGCCTTAAGGCGACCCCCTGCATTAGCGCCTGCTTTCCTCTGGAGACCCCCGCCCTTCGTTACACAGGAGCAGCAGCTCCCTGGAAACCCTACATCTACGTCCCCGCCTCCCCCCAACCTCCTCTGGCTCCAATGCCTCTCTCCGGGAGGGGTCCATCACTCCCCACCCACCATTCCCCTACGCCGTCAGCGCCGACGCGCTCACCTCCGCGGCGAGAGATGTGTTTACTGAGGAATCGCTGCTTCTTCCTCTGGTGTAGCAGGGTTGGGTACTTGAGCAGCAGGAAGGAGGTCACCACATAGCCCCCCAGTGTGGACAGCAAGTAAATCGCCGCCGAGGGCGACATCGCAGCTGCAGGAGTGCGGAGGGCCGTCCCCACCCAGTACGGCCCTCGCCCCTAACGCTCGGCCCTGCGAGCTAGGCGGCGGAGGCAACAGCACCAAAAGGAGACCCGGCAGCTCCGTCGGCTGCTCCAGGTCTGCTCGCCCCCAGCCGGAGCCTGGGCTCTAATACACTTGTCGGCGCAGGGCCCACTGCGCAAGCGCAGCCAGACCCGGAGGCTGGGGTGGGGGGAGTAACAAAGGGGTCCCAACGCGCAAGCGCACATGGGTTACTGGAGGGAAGCTTCCTAAGAGGATGCGTCACCTGCAGGAGTGAGTCTTTTGAAGCAAACCCCTCAGACTGGGTCAAAGGTTTGTAAATCTGCCACTTACCAGACAGGAAAGCATGATTAAAAGGCGGACTAAGATAATTATAAATGTAATTTAAATAATCATCATTAAGTGCCTCCCATGCTATATATAAGTACCATATGCAATATTAAGACAGATCCCAGGGTATACCTCTCATTTCCTGGTTACAAAAGCAGGATTATTTACAGAATCATGGATTCATATTGACCTTTACAGCTAGAAAGGACCTTTGAAGATCCTGTTACATATGAATAAACTAAAGCCCACAAAGATGAAGAGACTTACCTAAAAGCTAGTTAAATTCACACCAAGCTGCCAGACAACCTATTTATTTATTTTATTTTTTGCTTTTTGGCTAGGCAATGGGGTTAAGTGACTTGCCCAGGATCACACAGCTAGTAAGTGTTATGTGTCTGAGGTCACATTTGAACTCAGGTCCTCCTGACTCCAAGGCTGGAGCTCTATCCACTGCACCACCTAGCTGCCTATTTATGAAGGTATATGTGGATTTTAAATCATCCAGTCCAATCATCAATATACATAAATTTCAGAAAATGAAAGTATGCCAAAACATTAAAAAAAATATTACTTAAAAAAATAACAGGAAACTTCAGGCAATGCTTGGATCTCACTCAAGCCTTGGGTCAACTGAAAGCTTGTGTTTTGGGTTCCTCAAATTTGAATGTTTATGTTTACATTTCAATTGACCATAACTTGAATGTTTATGCTTATTGATATACCCTGGGAACCTGCCCTCTCTACAAATTGGGTGGACTGAGTTGGCTGGACTGCTACCAGCAGTTTGTGTGCTTGTCTGAACCCTATATAATACAAACCTCTTTTTGTTTTTTTTTTTTTAATTTGCTTTTTGGTTAGGCAATGGGGTTAAGTGACTTGCCCAGGGTTACACAGCTAGTAAGTGTTATATGTCTGAGGCTGGATTTGAACTCAGGTCCTCCTGAATCCAGGGCCGGTGCTCTATCCACTGCCTCACCTAGCTGCCCCTATAATACCAACCTCAAAGAGATTAGATAGGGAGCTTCCAGCTCTCTCCTCTACCAAATAATCAAATAAATTTCTTTCTAAAACTTAAAACCCAAAGGGGAAGTCCAGGGAAAGTACACCATAGGCACTCAAAAGGACAGGAAAAAAAAAAAAAAAAAAGCAAAAACTTTACGTAGCTAACTGGCAATAAAAAACAGGCTATTTTGACAGAGAAGATTAAATCTTTTAAGATGAAATGATCACCCTTCTGAAATCAGATAAGTTAAACAAGTAAAGCAGTTCAGAGTTTGCTGAACCATTTACAAAAAACTAAACCAGTAAGAAGTTCTTTACACACATCAAAGGCAGGAAGGAATCTAAGGACAGACACAATGGGACTAATTAATCCCTGCACAAAAGGTACACAAAGGATCAAAAGGCAACAGTAGAGATTAAATGAATTCTTAATCTTGGACTTTAATTGGTTAGATATATGGAGTCTTCCACTCCTACACTGCCATTTGTAGCAGACAAATCTTCAGATGAAGGCAGTGGCTTGCAATTTAGGACATGGGTTCCAATGCAGACTTTGAAAATAACTTGCCGTATGACACTGAGCAAATCACTGGGCCCTTCTCCTCATTTGAATAATTAAGAATCTCAATTTTTAAGGACTAGGCATTTTTTTTAGTCTAGGTATCACTCCCATCTAGGCTAGAAAATGCAGTGGCTACTCACAGGCCTGATCTCACTACTGATAATAGAAGCTTTAAACTGATTATCTCCACCCTGGCCCAGTTCACCCCTCCTTAGGTAACCTGGGGCCCTCCAGTCTCAGGGGCTCACATACTGGGTTCAGACAGTGGACACAACCAATCAGCTTGGGCCCCCAGCAGCTCAGAACTCCCTAGCTCAGAAAACCCTCTAGCCTCTGCATCCCTGGTGGAAGAGAGATTACAAGGTCTGGGCCAACACATCTAGCCTAGCTAGGCATTTTCTAAGGTCCTTCCACTTTTAAAATGCCTGGTTTTCTACATAGAAATAAGTGCATTAGTTGTTGTAGTTTTAATCGACCAATCCAACATATTGATCACTGCAGCCGGATGGAGTCTACCTAACAATTTTGTCGTGGCTGCAAATCTGATGTTGGCACACTTAGGAACTGCCAATATAATTCCCAAACCTAAGACACATCCTGTGAACTATAGACAAGTTAGTCTCACTAAAGTACGCAGTAAGTAGATGAAATAAATAATATGATCACTGAGTAAGTGAAATATAAAGTATCCTAACTGAAAAGGAATCGTTTCTCCAAGAATCTTATCTTACTAATCTACAATTTGCTGAGGAACAGCCCAAGGGCAAGATTTAAACTTTAGAAAATGTTATAGATTGGGCAGCTAGGTGGCCACTGGATAGAGTACAGGCCCTTGAGTCAGAAGGACCTGAATTCAAATCCGGCCTTAGCTAGGTGGTAGCTGTGTGACCCTGGGCACTTGTCACTTAACCCTGATTGCCTCAAAAAACAAAAAGAAAAAAAGAAAATGTTATGGATATGTAAATGTGCAGAAAGACAATTGTTTCAAGCATAAGGAAATTAAGGCATTTAGTAAGAAAAAATACTAGAAGGTCTAGGAACATCAATTGACACAAAAATATGATCTTACTTTGAAATAAAAAATTTCATCTTACTATCTCTTTGCTTTATGAATAAAAAAAAATGCAATGCACCAAATGAACACTACTCAGTCCTACAAAGCATTCTTAAATTCTGGCCCTTTCACTGTTACTGAACAATCAGACCAAGAATGGAATTTAGAAGTCATTTTATACTATTTACTGGAAATATCACTCAATGACCAGTGGACAAAAAAAAGCAAAAACTTGATTGGAAGGGTAAATAAAAAAGAACACATTACCCTAGCCTTGTCCAAGTCATAAACTCAATGATTTGGTGCTAAAAGGGGTCTTAGAGGTGATCTTGTTCAACTCCCTCATTTTACAGAGAAGGAAGCTAAGGTCCAGAAAAGATTCAGTGACGAGTGACACAGCTAGAAGTAGTAGAATCAGGACTTGAACCTAGGGTTCTCACTCCCAAGCCCAGTTCTCTTTCCACTAGGAGGGCAGGCCTGGAATACTCAGCACAATTCTAACTGTCACAGCCTAAGAAAGACATAAAAACACAGGAGATGGTCTAAGGGGAAATTATAATGGCTGATGGTTTGTAAGGGCAAGTATGAGTTCTAAAATTAGAACTCTTTATCCTAAAAACCTTGAGGTAAGATATGAACAGTCAAACTTTATTATCTATTATTTTGTTAGCCTAGGTACTTCTCTGCGAATACAGATTAATTTCTGCACCTAAGTGTTTTTTTTTTTTTAGTTGCCCATGCACAAATTAATGTCAACCAACCATCTGGTGATAAAATCTCTGAATTTAGCTAGGCTAGCTAATCCTCATCTGGCACTGGACTCATACTCAAAGCCTTTCCACGTTGGTAGAACCTATACAGTGAAGGCAGCTTTTGAAACCCCAGGATCACCTCTATGCTACAGTAAGGCACTAGAGTAAGATACTGTCAGTAGATATACTCTACTGGTAAAGTAGAGAATAAAAATCTATGAAATATTTTAAAAAGAAAATAATAGCATCTTCAGATAGTACCTTGTATATTATGTAGTAGGCAAATAAAAATTTTATTTGAAAAAGTATAGTTAGGGTGCACCTATAGGCTTCTTCACCAAATCTTGTACTATTAGAACTAAGGGATCACAGGAAATAAGTAAATCTTGGGCAAATGAAGAGTATTATTTAAACATAATAAGCTTTTTGTTGTTGTTGTTTTTCAGTTGTTTCTGATTCTCCTTGACCCTATTTGTGGTTTTTTTGGCAGAGATAATGGAGTGGTTTGCCATTTCCTGCTCCAGCTCATTTTACAGATAAGGCAAACAGGGGTTAAGTGACTTGCCCAGGGTCACAAAGCTAATGTCTGAGACTAGATTTGAACTCATGAAAATGAGTCTTCCTGACTCTAGGTCCAACACTCTATCTACTTCGATACCTAGCTGCTCCAGAATAAGCTTAAAGAATACCAAAAGGTTATATAGGTTGATAATGGGTTTAAAAAAAAAGACTTAGCCAAATTCATGGTTTATTCTTTTCCTTAGAGTAAAGAAGTGGCAGGAGTAGGAACAACAGTGGGATAGAATGAATACTGGCTTTGAACTGAGAAGACTTGGGTTTGGATCCCTGCTCTGACACTTACCACCTGTTTAGGCCTGAGCTTCCTCATTTGTAAAATGAGGGAGTTGGACTAAATAGCCATTAAGATTCTCTTCAGCTCTAAGTCTATGATATATATTGCTACCCTTTTTTGAGGTTGTTATAAAAAAGAAATCTCCCACATCTCTAGATGTCTCTTAGACACAGAACACTTAGGTAAAGGAATCATGGTTAATTCTTAGGCTTATATGTTCTCATTATAGTAAAAATTTCCTAGCACCTTCCCCCTCCCTCCAAAAAAAATTTCATTTCGCTGAAGGCTTTTGTCTTTACCTAGCTCCTTTTTTGCAGAGATTCCATACTTGAGTCTCAGAAAACACATAAAGTACAGAATAAATGGATTCAACTTTCAAAAATCCAATTTACATTCAACTTTTAAAGAACACATCTATTTATAAATAGACTTCATCTGTATAAATGTATAAATATTTGTATAAAAAGACTTCATATAAATAGACATTCTCTCTGGAGGTAGGAGAATGGAGAATATCCTC